ATATATATATATATATATATATATATATATATTGTAACATGTTTTATATCACCAGTTTTTTTATATACTTGAATGATTTAATATATATATGAGAAATTACACATTGTAACAATTAACATTTTATTTGATACTCTTGCAATACTGAAAATAACAAATTTAGTTTTTTATTCATAGCAATTTTGTATTTAATGTAAAGAAACAATGCTAAGTTGATGATACGAACTAATATTTTCTGTATCACAAATGTATTTTTTTTATTGAACTTAAGTACTGTAAGATATTGTTGTTTATTGGATGGTCATTTCAAGTTGTGTAATGTTTTCATGATACATTGAATGATATTTGAAATAATATGCTATTCATTGTTTTTTTCTTTGCACTATAATATTAGGTCAATGACAGAAACTTAGATAATGTAACTCATGAAGAAGCTGTTGCTACTTTGAAAGCTACTTCTGACCATGTAGTCCTCACAGTAAGAAAACAAAAACCACCACCTGTGTATATGAATCACTCACTACCACCCCCACCTCCTCCTCCCACTCAACCTGCTCAAGAAAATATCTGTGTAGTCACTCCCACATCATGTAAGTATGCATAATCCAGTTTGAAACAAGGAATGTAAAGACAGCCACTAGATTCTGTGAACTCTTTAATGGAGATGATAGGAGCATGCTTCCCTAATAATGTACTTTTAAAGTTTTATTATGCATATAAAATAATGTTGAAGTTTGTGAAATATGTTAAAATGTTGTTGTACTTACTTCATTCTAGATAGGTGTTTTGGGACGTTGAAAAAAAAAAGCAGTTTCTAAAACTTTTTTTTCTTCTTAATAAGACCAAAAGACACTTTCTTGTGATTAACATCTGAACACATTTTTCTTAATTTCATTTTTACTAGTACACCTTCAGGAAATTACCCTCAATTACTTCTGTTTTCAATACACATAAGTCCACTAAGAATTGCATTTATATCTGAACACCTAGTAGACTACCCTAATCTTTCTGTTTGGAATATCTCAGTATATTATGAACTCCATGTGCACTAGGAATTTTGATCTTGAAAAAATATGAAAACTCTATAAATGTTTTCTCTTTTACTAGGTTTTAATCTTTTGCTGAATGTTTGTTTTAAAAGATTTGTTTTCAGAATGTGTAACTTTTACTAAATGTATGTTTTAAAAGGATTAATCCTTTACTAAGTGTATGTTTTAAAAGGCTAATCTTTTATTGAATGTTTTTTAAAGGATTAATCCTTTACTTAATGTATGTTTTAAAAAGATTAATCCTTTACTAAATGTATGTTTTAAAAGGTTTAATCCTTTACTAAATGTATGTTTTAAAAGGACTAATCCTTTATTAAATGTATGTTTTAAAAGGTTTAATTCTTTACTAATTGTATGTTTTAAAAGGTTTATTCCTTTACTAAATGTATGTTTTAAAAGGATTAATCCTCTACTAAATGTATGTTTTAAAAGGTTTAATCCTTCACTAAATGTATGTTTTAAAAGGATTAATCTTTTACTAAATGTATGTTTTAAAAGGTTTAATCCTTCACTAAATGTATGTTTTAAAAGGACTAATCCTTTATTAAATGTATGTTTTAAAAGGATTAATCCTTTACTAAATGTATGTTTTAAAAGGTTTAATCCTTCACTAAATGTATGTTTCAAAGGACTAATCCTTTATTAAATGTATGTTTTAAAATGCTTAATCCTTTACTAAGTGTATGCTTTAGGTCATTTAATCTTTCACTAACACATAGCATTGAATAGTTACTGCCTTTCACAAACTAGTTTTATTTTTTTTCTATCTTATTGTTTGAAAAGGGGTTTGCCTTCTACTATTTGGATACTATGAACAAAATATCTCCAAATGTTTATAGCCTAAATATATCATATTTAATTCCTTCATTACAGCACAGTATTCTAAATTTATAATAAAAAGTAACCATTACTAAATGCTGTTTTCAGAACTTGTTAATAGGTTGTATCTCGATTTATTTTTATATACTAATAAATAATGTTTTATTTCTTTGTATATAATTTTATGTACAAATTTGTAGTTTAAAAATTGAGAAACAATGCGATACCAATATTTCTGAAGGTTTGAATAATAACTTGAATCTTCCACAGTAAATATTCCTGTTATGGAATACTGCAGTGAAATGATGACACCCAAAGTGCCAAGTGAGGAAAATATAACAAGGTAAAACGTACATTAATTTATAACAGACAATAGTTGATGTTAATCAGGTTGGTAGATGTTTGTAGTATGTGTTAAGAGTCTTGCTTTTGTATCATTGGTGTGTGTGTGTGCTTCAATGGATTATATAGGGCAGTCTAAAGATTGTTCATTGCCATAGTAATATCTAGTAATAATTGCAATTTATCTGCATATTTTCTAACTACTGGTGTGTTTATGATTCTAAGATTATACTGTGGCTGAACATTTCCCACCAAATATTCAAATTGCTTTCCTTCCACAATAACATAATCTTGTCACCCTTTAATATAATACTGTAGGTGAAATTAAGTTTTCTGAAAAAGATTTCAAAGCATTTTTCTGGAAATGTCATGAAGCTTATCAAAACTGTTTTTTACTTATTTTCATTGAAAGTGACTTTTAGACTAAAATGAAGTCCATTTACACCATTTATAAATATAAGCAAGAAAAATCATAGAGATTGCATATCCTCACCCTGCCACTCCTTCTCGAGAAAGCATGTGTTTATATTGGATAACATCAAATTACACCTTTAAAAATTCAGAAAATCCTTCTCAGATCCAGATTGAAATACCCAAAACCATGAAAATGCCCTATCTCCCATTATAAAAAATACTTCAAAGTGATCCAGAATCTGGATTTGGATCCAGACCAAATTTGGGTGAGGATTGTCTCATACTGACTTCCCATCTTGTGTAAAATTTTCGTGTACATCAGTGTATTAGTTTTTGAGATACACGTGTAGAAAAACAGATAGACACACACACAAACCAGATTGAAATACACCCCCCCTCTTTTCCCCCACACCCCCTCTGGGAGTGAAAGTAAAAATACACAGAAATTTTTACTTATAAGGATTTCACACCCTGTATCTTGATTTATTTCAAAACGTTTTAACACTGTTACTTATTCAGGGGAGAAAGACTCCCATATGGAAAGCCACAGAATTCTTGTACCACATTACCAAGTGACAAATTGAGTTAACATTAACTAAAGTTTCTGACTTTTAACATCAAACTTACAATAGAATAAAATCAGTTTACTGTGACACATAATGGTTTTCATATACAACTCTAAAATTTCTGATTTGTTTTTACACTGTTCATTTTATGTTATTGCCTTGGTGTAAAATCTGACTAAATCACTCATTTTTGGTATAAAATGTAGCAGTAGTTAGGGGAGTTAAGTGCTTATTGAGGTTATTTTCGTTTACATTTTTGTGTGCAATGTCTGTGGTATTAGGGACCTTCTAACCTTTGAATTCATGGACCCACAATCAATTTAGTACACAAATAAAGGTTCAAAAATTTGGCCAAAAAATGAAAATAGGGGCTCCCATCTATAATTCTAAGGCTAATTTTACAATTAGCTGGGTTTGTACTTCTGAACATATAATTTATATGGTAAAAATAGCAGTAAGTTGACAGACTTACAGTTTTAATATCTGGTGTTCAATTTCTCATGGTTGACAGAGTACAGATAGCCTATTGCATAGTTTGCACTAAGAAAACAACAACAACAACATTAAAAAATATACAGTTGGTGGCGATTTTTAAAAATAAAATTGATCAAGTAATATATAAAACATATAGGTATTAAGGATTATAAGGTTTAACATATTTGAAATAATTTTTATTGTGCTTTTATAGACAAAACTTCCTATTCTCCTTTGACGTTTGTACATCGTCATTACAAAGTGCCTTAAAGTTACTTTGTGGTGTTATCTTGACAAGACAATCTAATCACAAAATGCAGTGTAAGGTTATAATGTAAGGCAACCACAAATCTCCTGTCCGGTTCTAAGTATCTAATGTTGCAGAGAAATGGAACTGTTACTAAAATGATAATAGTACTGGCTAAATCTAACCAAAATAAAATTACTTTTATTTTCTAAGTAAAATAGAGCTCATTATTAGCGTCAAGTTTATATGTATGGATGGGCCAGATTCTTTATAGTAGGTGTCTGTGACTAGTCGGTGATAAATTTCAACAAACAGCACACAATCTATTTGTTTTAAAATGATATATTAAAAGAAGTCAAACGTATATACAAATGATTGTTATGCAGTTGGATATCACAGTTGTATCCAGAGCTTTAAATAACTATCTCATTTTCATCAGAGTTCACACAGGCTGGTTCAGTTACTTTAGAACACCATTTGCAAAGACAATTTATTCTCCTTGCTCTGTTATTACAATACGGTCTGTGATAATTTCACTTTAAAATCACCACTATAGCTTTGGGTTACCACAGTTGTATCCAAAGCTTTAGAATAATTGTCTCCTTTTCATCAAATTCCACACAGGCTGGTTTGATTACTTTAGAACACATTTGACAAGACAAGTTATTTCTTCTTTACTCTGTTATTACAATAAAATTTATGATTATTTCACTTTAGAAATCGCCACTATATGCAATTTATGGCTAAATTTGCAATCACACAGTCTAGATCTAACTATCTATCTGTCTAACTCGAACTACATTTTCGACACGTATTTATAGCCCGACTATATATAGGCCTAGAACGTTCCACACACTACGTGATATTATGATGCAATGACACTCAATTAAAACAACCAGAAAAACTTAGAAGGTTCTAATATGCGGAAACATCTGTTAGCTGAGTTCTTGCGCAGATCTTTTGCTACAACCATACATAACCTTGACCCTAAACAATTGTTTTTGTTCTCCTTCGACATCAGCAGCCTGTTTACTAATGTACCCCTGGCAGACACCATCAAAATTTGTGCAGATACTTTGTATGGTGGTGAAGTTCAGTGCCCTCCAATACCTAAGGACCTGTTTATTGAACTAATGAATACTGCGACACGTTCGGTGGAATTCAGCTTTAATGATATCATGTATCAACAGATTGGTGGAGTCGCCATGGTTTCTCCTCTTGGACCTGCCTTAGCCAATATTTTCGTTGGTTTCCTCGAAAAAGAACTATTTAACAAAGTTACCAGACCTGCTGTTTACTTCCGCTATGTAGACTACACATTTGCCATTTTTAAAACTGTTTGTTTGTTTGAAGTTAAGCACAAAGCTACACAATGGGCTATCTGTGATCTGCTCACCACGGGTATCGAAACTCGGTTTCTAGCGTTGTAAGTCCGCAGACATACCGCTGTGCCACTGGGGGGCTTTTAAAACTGAACAGGAATGAGAGTGTTTCTTACAAAACCTAAACTCGTTGTACTCGGCTCTCAAATTTACTTTCGAAAAGGAACAACATAACTCTTTACCGTTCCTAGACGTCTTAGTTGAAAAAGATGTTTGTTTTGTTTGTTTTTTTGAAGTTAAGCACAAAGCTACACAATGGGCTATCTGTGATCTGCTCACCACGGGTATCGAAACTCGGTTTCTAGCGTTGTAAGTCCGCAGACATACCGCTGTGCCACTGGGGGGCTTTTAAAACTGAACAGGAATGAGAGTGTTTCTTA